GCGTGGCATTATGCTCCTGTCCATCCCAGGCAAAATACTAAGACGAGCCAACAATTACGCATCTCATTCAACAGTTGTACGATAATGCTGCATGCTATGTAATCCGCAACGGGAAATTCAAAAACAAACCACCAAGTGAGTGACACCACACGACAGGCTGTTGCTCAAGTGGAGCCCGAATGGGAAGTGGAGAGTTGGTCGTCAGTGCGAGGGTGACGTGGAGCAGATGATATGAATGGGAGATGAAATCATGTGAGCAGGCATGGAGCCAGGTGAAAAGGTTGGTGGACAACAGAACGCAATGGAGACGTGCGGCCAAAGCCCATGCTCCTCTAGGAACTAAAGGAAACAATAATAATGATAGTATGCTATAATTTGTCGCTATCAACTTCCGCTAAATTTAACAGTCTATTTCATCAAGTAGAATGTCCAAATAAACAATACGAAATACAATGAAAATCACCGTTTAGACATTCAGAGAACAAAAAGAAATTGCGGAAAGGAATATACTTTTCGATAAATTCCTCTTCCGGCCCTAAAATTATACGTATACAGAGGTGAAGTTAAAGTTTCATAGCCAAAATCTTCCAAATGTTGACCTTCAATAACTGATAAAACACACGGAATCATATGAAACGCATTCCAAATCAAGTTATGCCGGCCTTTCTGGTCCTGGATAGGACAGTTACAGTATTCTACTTACTGCTCACGTTTTCTGTAAATCTATGCTGTTAGGTAAGGATATGCAGTTTGAGATTAGGGTTTATGGTTAAATTTGGGATCAGAAGTTAGTGCTATGGTTAGAGCTAGGGGTAGGTTGGAGAGTAGTATCAGAAATATCAATGCACCTCAAAGTTCTATGATCTGCAGTCACATAGATACGTCATGCGTGGTGGGATTTCTCTATAGATCATCTGTGTATTAACTGTGAGACATTTTTCCAACACATAAGCAACAGCTATACAGTGTGATATCAAGTGTGCGATATTTTCTCGTGCATGTTTCAACGATTATGCGACTTTGAATCTGAATTCAGATTGGTTGTTCTGGTTTAGTGTGGTTTTTAGTTTGATAGTTTTACTTAACCCATACACAGTATTCTAAAGTAATCGTCATTACCATGATATGAAAATCCGATGGTATCGTGGGAATCACTTTTTTCAGCAGCCGACCACAGGAATTCACTGAAATAAGCGATCACTAAACAAGAAAACAAGACTGAGAAAGAAATGTGAATGATCATTACTACTAATGCAAGAACTAATCTGTTAAGGTCTTAAGAATCCGTTAATTTGTGTCTACTTACGTCAGTTGATATTTTCAAATCGGAAAAAATAAGTATCGCAACTGTCATAAAACGTGAAGTCAATGCAGCTTTAAGAAAGTTGGTTTCCAGGTGTACATCATTCCTAGACATCAAAAATAATAAACAGAATGATGGATAAAAGTTAATACTTGCATGAACAAGCCGTTTAAGTGCGAACAGGCGCCAGAAGAGACCGTTCCAGTCGACATTTACGTTAGTTAACATTGTTGAGACGAAGCAGTGGATATTGCAATTGTTTTTGCAAGTTACGTAATTAATGTCCGGGCAAGAACAGTATATCTGGCTATCTTGCTTATATTGGTGCTTTTACTTGACTTTTTCGCAGAAAGAAAACTCAGAATATTTCAGGTCTCCCGCACTAAATCGCTTTCTCCGCTGGAAGCATAAGGTTAAGAAACCACGTCATCCGGGAGGACTGCCTGCTCCGACACGATCTCCATATAGTTGAGCATCCATAATTTTCCAATAGTCAATGCCCCTCAACATTCTAATTATTTTAGATAACCTATTTTTTGTCTGATTTGGTCCGCTAACTATTAATTAATACTCAGCCAGTGGTACGAGGATAAAAGTGATTACAAATCGATTTCATGCACAGTAGAGCGAACGCCACGACAGATATTAGACCCGCGTAAAAATTCGCTAAAGGTTCTTAATCGGCCTGAACTAGCATCTCGTATGATTGCAGAAATCTGCCAAGCTTGGGATACACAACCACATAGGGCTAACTACCTGAGGAGACACAAAACATAGTTTGCCAACCCGTCCTGCCCATTCGGGTTGGTGGAAACAAAAGGGAGGTAAATTTTTTTTTCAACAATATATATACTCAATTAGACTGGAGTGACCTCAAAAAACTTTGACTGGGGTACAGTCAGTTTTTTCCAATTACTACTTGTTTACCTTGAGAATCACTGCAATTTTTGGGCCATCACTGGCATATATGATGAGATCCAGAAATTCATTTTTGTTAGACGAAGTTATTGCACCTATACCATTAAGGTCAGACATTCTAAGATTATGGTTTCCATACATTTAAGTGGACTTCCATTAGTGGAAATAAACATGCATATCACGCAACACATGGTTGCCTTGGAAGCAAGCAATTCCTACAAAGACCGCAAACCTAAAGAGAGATAATCAGCAGCCCGGTGGTCCAAGTACAATGTTCAGCTGGAAAACAGTTCAGCAGTACGTGTGCTTAAAATATGTGCGAAATTATTATTCACCATAGGTCACCTCGGTAAATTTGAAAGCCTTCTACAACACAGCGTGTTCAGATGTAGTACGTGGCTAGAGAACTAGGAAAGATGGGACGAGGAACCGAGTAGGAATTGCACCTGCTTTTGACAAGTGAAAGTCTTTTAAAGCACCAGTCAGGAGTTGCATGAATCCTGCGCAATTAGCTATGAAGTGTCTATAGAAGTTGTTCAACTCCAGAAACTCCAGAGTTGAGGTGAGGGAGTGTATAAGCAATATCACTTGATGGTATCCAACTCTTTGGCCACTGGTGTGATCTCAGCGCCGTCACTGATGTGCGTTGGGAGCTATATTTTTACAGCACCGAAAGCTCACTTAATTTATTTGATTGTCATGCCGTTGTTTTCTACTTTGTGTAATACTGTGCAGATATGACCTGCATGTGTGTCTATATTCGGGCTGCCAACGAGTGTGTCGTCTACCTACGCTTTGGTGAGTGGCGGTTCATGCAGCAAGTCATCTATGAACCTTTGGAACGTTTGTGCCGCATTCCTGGGACCAAAGTGCATCAGAATGGGATGGTAACTGCTGTCGTGGGAATATTGTAAATGCTCTAAATACTATTGAATATTGTGGCGCCTCGAAGTTTAGCAGTGAAGTCCTGAATGTGAGGTACTCAGTATAAATCTGGTGTGCTTTGCTTATTTAGTGCTATGTAGCCACTACGAGGGCGCCAATCAGGTGAATTTTCTTGGATACTATATGGATCGCCGAGGGCTGGAAAATCCCCAGCTGCAACGTGTGGCCAAATTCAGCTGCTGCTATCCAACTTCTCAAAACCACGGTAAACTGTGTCTCCAGCAATACAAGAGGCCCCCACCGACAGAACACAGGAGATGTCACAACGGCCTTTAATGCTTAGTTGGAGTTATGGTGTAATGCTGTATGCCGCCAGACCCATTGTGATAGTAAAAGGTAGTAGGATACCGCGGTTTGCATAAATCCTTGAAAATCTAGTGGGTGTGTACTTCCAGTGATCCTCAAGCCAGAGCGAAACAGCTGTCTAGTACTCTCTGGTTTTTAGTAGTTCTCTAACTGATGTCAAACTGTAGTCAAACCTTAAACAATATGTTTCTCCTTTGGAGGGATCAACAGTGGAGCCAATACCTTCTAATCGGGTAAATTATTAGAGTCGCTAACCAACCCACATGGGAACCTAGGTTTTATCTGTGCTTTGTTCGATTATGGCTTGGGCAACTCCTCCTTGGCTGCTCGAGCGTGTCATGGAAGGGAATAAAAAGTTAGAAAATTGGATGCTTCAATCTTCCCCTAGTATACATTGTACCACAATTAATTTGCCTCTCATTTCTTGGTGTGATGATGGGAAGAGGTTTCGATGTTTCAGTCTCGTTTCTCGACAAAGGTGAGCGATATCACTGACTTATTTAGCTACTACTCCTTGTATTCCTTCTAGAATGTTACAGATGAAGCCTGAGATAAATTGAGCAGAGTGCAGTAAACATTGGATTACCCAATATTTTAAAAGCGCTACGAGGTATCAGAAACATTTGAAAAACCCTCCTTAAATCTACATTACCATATGGAGTTGTTTACATGACACTACTGACAATAATCACCAAGTGCCTTGTTATTTAATATTAGTCGAAATTATCCCCCCAAAGACGTATGTCGTTTAAGATCTCTGGCTTGATTGCAATACTTATGAACACTTTCGAGCCGCTGGTTTTACTTCCACTAACATTTTTGTTACATTTATGGTTATTTTTAAAAGCTGTCGAGAAAGCTTTCCGTGTGTGCTGACATAAGTGATTGCAGAGGTAATTCGGAGATGATGACAAACACCATGACCACGGGTGGTTCCATAGGGAGCATATAAACCTCAGAGTTAATACGGAACCCAGTCACAGTGGGTGATTAAAGACCGAGGCAGGTACAAGCAAATGAGCCTACTGATGGGTGAAACTACTCCTTAGCCAATGACTAGTGTAGTGTGTCTAGTCCTTTGTTTAATGTAGACTTAATTCTATCAGCCAAGTTTGCAGCGTGGCTAGCATTCTTGGTCGCTTGCCATCACGGGGAACTTTCTGAGACGTCTCTGACGACAGCTCTGGGTGACGCGGGCTCGAATCTCAGTAGGCACATGGGTCCCCTCAAGGCATCAGACACACCTTGCTGACTTCTAAGTGCCAACTAGCAGGAAATCTAGGTGGCTCGAGGCATCCTGCCGACATCCTCCAACCACCTAATATTAATGAAAACTTTTGAAACATGTGAAAATAAAAATCAGGAGCATTTTGCATCTCCAAATAATTCTTCGACCAATTCAATAATATTATCGCCTTATGAATAAGAACAGTCTATAATTGGTGAATAAAGCAGAATGCTAGAATGTTGGACGCGTTTGGATATACTAAGAAATCATGTTTCAAGGTCATTTAATTTCATTGGTTGATGGAATGCTATGACAATTCAACGCACTTTTTTGAACTTAATACTTAAATGCACCGAAAATATTTCGTTGATTTGACCGAAATTTAATAAAGTATTAGTCGTGATGAGCGACGTTACAACACAAAAGAGTGACGCTGATTCTTGGAGAAAACAGTTGCGTTCAAAAAATTCCTCCCCAAGTCGATCACGTAAATTTCTAAATAAAAGTGTCCATTTATATTTTAGTGAAAAGGGTGGCAGCCGCAAAATATGGAAAATCTGTAACAGGATTTTCTCTTGATGCTTCGGCGTAAGAACTTACTCTTGCCTCTTAAGACTTCATAGTGATTTAGACACAAATTATAGAACTATGAGAAATTTAGAAAATGAATATGTAAAAAGCCTACAGCAGCAAATTTATCTTTTGGAACTTGAAAACAACTATATTCGACACCAAGCTGCTGAAATTATGGACAAGCAACCACTTATGGTTTCTGAGGCCTCCAACTCACTGAAAAAAATCAAAGTGAGAATAGTTTACATATATCTGTATTTGCATAATAATTTAAGAAGCAGAAAATCTATTTGCATAAGTGATGATGACATAAATGCTTTAAGATTTGATGTGTAACAATACAGATTGTCACTAAACATGACTTTGTTAGTTAATTAGTCGTATTTTGAAAGTATGCATTCCTAAATAACATCTTTTATTCTGCGATTTTATTGAAAGTGGTTTACACTTAGCAGTCTTTACTTACTCTTCACACGCTCTATCTTGCAATTCGAGATATCAGCATTGTTCTGTAAATTTAATTAAGAATATCTCGTGTCACGCATACAAATGCCCTACCTTCTGGGCTTCGTTTAACTCCTCTTATTGAGATGTTCTGTTAAGAAGAATTTTAGGGGACCTATTACTGATATTCACTGGCAGTTCCGGAAAACTGATGCGTTTTGTTTAAAAATAATTAGTTAACTAAATTCTTACAGTCTAAGGGAAGTCGACCAAAACTCTGAAAGTCAAGTTGCAGCACACATTACACAGAAGTTTACCAAAGATCAGGGACTTTTATCCTACAATCGGAAATCGAGTAAAAAGGAATCATTTTTGCTTACACAAACTCGAAAGAACGATATTGGATATCTTGGTTAATAGCTGGGGAGTTTTACGATGAAATGTTTGACTACATTTTCTCAGAAGTAATTTTTTGAACAACACGGGTTTTTAATTTTCTATTTAAATAATGTTATCTGAATTGAAAGCTAAAAACTCATACACTCTGTACTACTGACCGACCAGTCTTGCGGAATCGGATATGAATACGACATGATATATTGAAATTCACTCATACCTCCACGGCCTCCAACCCCATGAGCTTTCTTATCAAACACCAGGATTAATTCGCAAGAAACATGTGAAGGCCTGAAGGGTTGGGTTGGAGAGTTGCAAAACAACCATTGTCCACCACTCAGTGAATAATAAGTCACTTTTATTAGGGTTGTATGAGGGGTACAGTGGAGGTTATTCAAAACAATTCATATAGGCCATCAAAACTTATTGGGATCGACTGCTGGTTTTTAAAATATGTCAAAGAAATTTAATCATGCTACACTCGGATGACTTTCAGCAAATTATATTAACACACATAGAATCAGCATTAAGGATTGTGTTGTGCTATATTCTATAGTGTCTCAACAGGGTGATATCTGTAGGGGACTAATATTAGAGTTCACTAATATTACAAATATGAGAAATATAATCCAAGTCAATGAAATGTTAAATAGCAATATATTACCAAAAATGCAATGACGAGTTATATCAACAAAAGGGATTACTTGGATATAAAGTTTAAGTCCTCTGCTACAAATTATTTATTTAACCCACGGGTACGTTGATTGTTTGGGTTGCGTCTGCTGTAGCTGCTGTGTTCCGGTTGTAGAAACGTCTTCGGTTGAGAGCAGTAGACTCCTACAATAAATCCGAAGTATACAACACGGTGTGAGTTGAGCAGGTAAGCAGAAATAACCAGGGAGAAGGCGAAGTCTCCAACAGCAAATTGTATTTTCAATTGTACACGGAAGTTATGTATATTTCAACAAGAAGCGTTTTAAACAAAAATTATGTACAATATCTCTAATTTCCACAAATAACCAAAAAGTGTACAATCACGTTGTTACGTACTCCACATATCCATCAGGGATGATTTTTTCTCCAGGAGTAATTATATGAACATTATAAGGGTGGAACATGTTAAGTGAGGTCAGACATGCAGATAACATTTTATCACTAGACTTTGACCCAAACAAGCTAATAATGCAGCTTTAAATTTTTCAGACCCCGTGCCAAACCACACAATAAGCCGCACCAAACAAAACTATGACACCTTGTGCTTTGGATATATGCTATGCTTCTGAGGCATACATGTATGACTTCATTGTCGTTATTCACCTAATCTCACCAGACTGACATGGTTAATCTATGAAACACACCTTAATGGTGTCAGGAAATCTATTTGGCTGCTTCTTACTCGCTTGCTAGTGTAGGGCTTGGATGAAACTAGCTCTAAACAGAAAGTCGTTTATGTATTGTTTATTTTAACTGATTTTCATGATTAATAAAAGACGCCTTTCCATAATCTTTGCTTACACCCCTAGATGGGTAAATTTCAAACAGATTAAGGTATCATTTTCACCAAAAATTCCCTAGTTCTGCAATAAAAGCGAAACGCTCAGATAACTTCATCTTTGTTAGGTGACCGTAATACTCAAGTAAGAAGGTCAGTCAATCCAAAAATTATATTTGGAGTATCTGTGAAATTCACGTTGGCCAATAGACAGCAATAATTGTCATCTGCATCTTTGTCCATGTGGTTATCTACTTATGGTCGATGCTAGTTTCAAATGTAAAGGGAGATTACTTCTGACCAGTATAGCCAAGCCAACGACTAACATCGGCCGACTACCTAACTTTAACTTATCTGTGGATAGTATTGGTGAGAAATGTAGTTTTCTCTTGAACGTCTGCGTAGACCCTGATCATGTACTTGTTCTTGCACATGTGTGGCTATGATTATAAGAATACAGCTTAGTGTGTAGCATGTATCTAGCAAGGTGATAAATAAAACATATCTGGCTATGAGAAGAGAATCCATCTTGAGGAAATCAAGCATAACATTTATTCATTCATCCATTCTGAATAATTCTAATGTATTCAATTCCTCATAAATCCTCACTAATCTTCGCCTATTCTTTTATTGTAGTTCTATTACTTTTCTTTTTCTGTCATTTGTACGTAATTCTTTGAAACGTGAGAACTTGACGCAGACTGCTGTGTTTCGCAACCTCGCAAACTGGCAAGTCACTCAGACATTGATATGAACCAAAGTTCTCTGGAAAATATGGTGGAAAATCTAAGATTCCAGTAATGTGTTTGTCACTAAACTGCTTAAAGGCTGATTTAAATCAAAGATGTGTTTGACTATAATGCAACCACACAAGACCATATCGTCTACTCAGAAGAACCACACAGTATCATTATCTAAACTTAGGATAAACAATTTTCCTCTGCTTCCGTGTACGCCAGTTTTTATTGTGAAATTATTTAAAACAACTTCAGTATGAGTCTCATTGTTTCGGATATCTGGAAAGCATGTTGTGCATGGCTAGCCGCCGTCCTCCACGTCCAGGTGTGTTTGCATAAGATTACGTTATAAAATAGCTATGGATGTTCAGACCTAGCTGTTGCATCAGCCCAAGAAGTCTTTTAGGGTTAGTCTGAACCATTTATGGAGGTGTAGACTTTTCTGGCTACAGTCTTTGGCATGCCAGGAATCACCTGCTAGAGATTATTGGTGATGCGGCTGAAAATCGTTCTCAGTGGCACTGGTGTATGCTTAAAGAATAGAATCAAGAACTGTCTGAACGTTTTGCTGCTTAGGCCACAACTTCTTCGGCAGAAGCACTGGAATTTTATTAAATATCAGAGTAATAGCTCAAATAGTACTTAAATTAAAGTAAACTTGTTTGGAGGTCACTAGTAGGTAAAAGTCTACATTACTTGATTACATATACATATATATTGTTATTTGGTAAAATCAGAGAGCAAAGATGACCGAAAAGTAATCTGGAAACTGCTTCAACTCTCTTTGGAGTGCAGTGCCTGAAGTCTTTAGCAACCTTATTCAACAGCTAGCTTTTTGACAATGCCACGTGTCAGGTGATCCACAACGAAAAACTCAGCGATGCTTTCAAATGAATACAGAAGTAAGACAAGGTGGCTGCTTGCTATCACCCGCGATGATATTCCTTATGGTAGTGGATTGGATTAGGCGTCAGACTGTTTGTGTGAAGTGAGAAGACAGGAATACGCTAGACGACCGATAAGATGATCTGGATTTCGCTCGTGAATGATTTGTGTCTAATGTTACACAGACTGGAATACTTTCAGGCGAAAACCAACAAATTGGCAGAAGATGCACTCACCTCATAGAAGACTCCAGGTGAACATGGAGAAGGTGGAGGCGGAAATCTTCCCCACTCCACCTCAGAACAAAGAACAACATCCAGATTTGCAACATCAATGTAAAGTCGGTTTTTCTATATGCTTTTGAAGGTTGGTTCACACGTCACGAAAAGTATTTCTTTTGCCAACGGCTGTTCCCTTAGTCAGCTCCACTGTAAAGATCAGATGGGGGGGGGCAGAGCGAATCAGCAACAAGAAACTATGGAAACGAATCAAACAAGAATCTATTTCCGAACAGATATGTGGAAGAAAATGGAAATGGATTGGGCGCACGCTGAGGATACCATCGAGTAACATTGCTAGAGTAAAATCCGAATGGGAAACGACATGTTGTACGTTAGTCTAAGGGCAGCATGAAGGAGGTCATCTAGGGAGGAGACGGTAAGAGACTATGGACAATCGTAGGGCCCTACATGAAGATCTCATCATGAGCTGAAATTGGTTAGAGAACCATTGGAAAACCTGCAGGGACTACTGAACAACTGTTTCGTCCTAGTTTGTGACTCTTTAGCAGTATGCACGCGCCACATGGACTCAAAGCCAGGGCCTTCTGGTTACACGATGAGCTCGTAGACCATCCAACCACTGGGACTCAATCCAATGGCCAGCCCATGAATTCTAACTTTTGCCAATTCACGGCATAGCGCGATCGCTAGCCAATGTCTTCACCCGCGAGTACTTGCCCTCACACCCTACCTGCTGCAGCTTACTGATCACGACTTCCCACTAGAACCCCAGATAACTACCTGCCCGAATAGGGCAAGTCACTAGTGAGCATCTCATCGATGTTCAAGTGTTTGTTTGTCAGCTTATGATGAAATCCTGTAACCAATCAATCAAATCCCTACAAACCAACAGTTGAACATGGAGATGTGTTGTTGAAGGCCTATGTTCCGCTGATAACTCAAGGAAACAGACACAATAATAATCATAAATCCTAGTGCTCAGAGACGTCTTCATTTTGTAAACATACTGAGATCATTTTAAATAACTTTACAATTAAATCAATCAGACAAGATGCTCAAATCACTGTAGGAAATTCTCAGCATCCATAATACTTTGGATACTTACAATTATGTTAACGTTTTTTTGTTTCAAATATTTAGGAAATGAAAAATCAAACGGATGGATTAAAACTTGAAATTCATCGTAAAGAAGCGCATATAGATATTCTACAGCAAAAGTTAAATCGTTGTGAAGAGAATATTAGAGAAACTCTGTGTAAGTTTTTATTTCACTAAGATTATGTTTTGTAATTTACTGTTCTGACAACTCAGGGAATAGTTACTGTTTTCACTGTTTGAAGTTAATATCACCTAATTTAATGTCGACTATGATGTATAACAAGTAGGTTTGTAAGAAGAATTAACTGATATTATGAAGTGATTTATTCTAAGCATTCGTAAATATAACTCTGAGATTATTGAATTGAATTTTTGATTTTCCCGTCGACTGATTGGACCGAAGTGCTCGGTCTCAGGTTGACATGTCGGCTTCTTGTGCAGATGCTTCGACGATGTCTGGGTATTTAATTAGTATACAAGAGGTGGCTCTCGTGGCCCAAGTGGTCTAGTGGATAACGCTTTGGCGTTCGAAACTATGGGTACTAGGTTCGAGCCTTGGTGGGAACATCATCACTCACTGAGAAATGCAGGTACATCCAGCTGACGAGTCCCAAATAGGACGAAATGCGCATCCTGGATTCCACTGCTAGCCACCATCCACCAATTGTATAATAACTCTGAGATGTTTTAAAAATCAATATTTTAAGCTATTTAATTCTTCTTTCCGTGTGTCTCCAAAATCGTTTCCAATTGGTGGTTTATTATTATTATTATTCCCCTGCTTTCCGAGTGGAACACATGGCTTCAACAAGACATCTCCACTTTCTTCTATGTTCTGTAGTCCTCTTCAACTGGGTGCACAATTGTCCATAATATCTCATCTTCTCCTCTGACTCACACAATCTCCTGCATATCACCCTCGTACCGGTGAACCACTCGTCGCTTCCCATTGGAATTCCATTCGAACGATTACCTGCACTGAGCATGATGTAATTTGACGGTTTCCTCAATGTATGCCTGATCCATCTCTATTTTCTCCTACATATTCGATAGACAATCGCCTCTTGGTTGGTTAGTTATCATAGTTTCTTGTGTAGAGTTTCAATATGGAGTACAAGATGCATAAGTTATAATAAACATTAAATGTGACAGTAAAAATAGAATATCGAATAAAATTGAGGAAATTTCCATAACAAATTGAGGATCATTGAAAGCTTCATTGACGGTCAATGTGAATAAAACGTCTGAACCAAATTCTTTTGAAAGCATAACTTAGGCTTCTTAATGTAGATTCTAACAGCCTCCTCATTGATATGTGTAACAGATGAAATCTTGAGGTAAAATTGAGGTTAATGGGTCGGTTTATAGTAGGTGACTTTGAAAGCCGCCTTATTTACATCAATTTTGTGTTCTGTATCCACGAGATGAGAACAATGAATGGACTTCGTTTGTTCATTAGTCAAAGACTGATGCAGAATGATGTTGGGAAATCCGACGATGAGCACAATTAGTTGTACTGCATGTGTAGTTAACTGGCTCCACAGAAGCAATCAAATTGGTAGGTACACATACAGGAGGCGAAATTAAGCAATTTATCTATAATTCGCAAATGTTTAACAGGGGTAGTTTTGAAGACGCAGTATACTTCAATGGCATTGAATGCTCCTCGTTTTGCAGCATTCCTTTATGCGTTGTGTTAATATCTCGCTGGTATTATTCCCGAGCAAGTGAAATCGTAAGAACAAGGCCTTTTTCCGGACTGTTGGTTGATACTTTGGCCTACCTTGATTTTGATTAATATTCTTATCAATGTATTTCCCTGGATAACCATCCTCACTCAGCAACTGTTTAATAATAATAAGCTCTTCATCAAGACATTAATCAGAGCAGATTGCACTTCCTCTGTGGACCAAGCATTTAATTAGAGTGCATTTATATTTCAAAGGCACGAAACTGTGAAATGAGTTTACTGACCAGTTGATGTAGGTTTTCTACATACACTTCTTCTTACTGTGCAATCCTTTCTTCTGGTAATAAGGAATGGAATACTAAAGCCTCTTCTTTTCTCGATGGTATAGCGGTTAGGACGCTCGTTGACTATGCACATGGTCTGGGGTTCGGTTCCCGGATGACGCAATCCTTTACCTTGCTAAGCCAGAAATAATGCTGGTAAAGAGGAAAGGTTGGGTATGAGGCTAGCAACCTCATCCTGTAAAATAAACACTGCTACAGAAACTTCAAGCCACTAGCTTGAAGCCCTGAGTTCCACTGGGGGAACGTGAAGGAAAAAAATGTTTTATTTCATGATGAACACCATTGAATTTGCCAAGTATGTTCTTTGCATCATCCTCATTTTTCATAATCAAAAATGTATCATGCATATCACAACAGTAGAATTCTAGTTCACCAGTTACATTTTCTGAAGGTTCATTTTATAGTTTTGCCAGGAAAATGTCGGCTAGAATGGGTCCTAATGATCACTCCACCGCCACATCATCAATTTGTCTGTGTAGTTGCTCATTGATTAAAAAGTGAACATTCAATATGCATTTCAAAATAAGCTGTTTTATCAAAGATATAAGAATGTTGATATAGATGTTTTTTGCATTAAGTTCTTCGCATACAAAGTCTATTGTTTCCATAAGTGGTACACATTAGTGAATAAGTAGGCTACGTCAAATGATGAAGTTTAAAGTTAACAAACGATGTGTTCTAGAGAATTATTCTAAAATTTTCAAGTATTGCTTTTGTAGGGAATTTTGTTTTGATTAGTTGGAGGATTTCATCATGAGCTGAAACTTGTTAGAGAACCATTGGAAAACCTGTAAGGAGTACTGGACAGCTGTTTCGTCCCGGTGCTTGGGACTCTTCATCAGTACTCACTTTTTAATCTTCCGCATAATTCATCAACACGAGACATAGTGTCATGAAGGTCTTGAACGGTCCATGTTTATTCTTGTGTTAATAAAATCTATTCCTTTTACTTTCTAGGTCTATTTACAATCATTTAAGAAACGGCTGTCACCATGATCTTTTTTTTATTATATATTTTGTTTAAAGTTCTCCATAATGAATTCGCTGCCAACGCACTGCTTTACCCCGATAAGCCAGTAATAAGGCTAGTAAAGAGGGAAGGTTGGGCATGAGGCTGGCTAACAACTCCATCCTGTGGAAATAAGCACCACAGCTGCCGAAAATTCAAGCCTCTAGCTTGGAGCCCTATGTTCCACTGGGAACGCAAAAGAATGAAATAAACAATATTTTATGAAAATGACTTTTAAACATCGCCTTTCGCACTTACTTGATACATACTTTTGTGTGATATTTGCGGTGATGCAATCGAAGAGGATACCGACTGTCAATAGAATAGGTGGTAAATAATTTTAATCTGAACCAGTTCAAATCATCCGGATTCGGGTTAGCTATGCTTCCGTCTGAGCTAAGTCTAACCGGGTACATCGACAAAGGAATCGGCCTCAGACGAGCGAAACAGACATCCATTGTTTGCACCACTTTGATATAAGTGTCGAGTACAACTGGTTCGTGTGAACAGTATTCAGCTGCTCTTATAAATCGATCAGTAGTTTATCACAACGCGTACTTATTCTTGATATTTTTATGTGAATAACTTCGTTTGCCAAAGAAAATCATGGTGAAGTTCCACCTCAAACGGGGTAAATTTTGTAAATAGCGGATCAGTCCTCAAACAGTCAATTGAATTACTTGACAGGAAGATATATTCGCCTATTTCATACATTTTTTTGATTGGTTGGAAGATTTCATTATGAGCTGACTTCAGTTCGAGAACCATTGGAAAACCTTCAGGGAGTCCTGGTGCTTGGGACTATTCAGTAGTAATCATTCACCAGGATTCTAGCTCAGGACCTTGTGATTACAAGCCGATCGAGCTCTTAGACCAATCAGCAGACCCATTAATTCTAACTCCTGTCAATTCATGACATGGAAAATGGATTTCCACCATGTTTTATAGATAAGAATATACATTCAAAGCCTACAAAACGTGACTTATCAACCGCTGCCAAGAAAATGCTTTACACGAGCTTAGAATTCAAAGGCAGCTTAGCTTCTGATATCATGAAACGAAGGACATCACAGTCCCTGAAAAGAACAGTCCCTGCTGCATCTCTGAGAATAGCTTTTACTAGCCGACAATTATTGTTCAATAACCTGAAGGACAAGATCCCACTGTTGACCAACTCTATGTGCATTTATCAATTCACCTGCTCTTGTGGAGCTAGGTATATCGGTCGTTCGACTCGCGTTTTGTCCAAGAGGGTGCAACAACACTATCCTGCATGGCTACGAAAAGGTGGAAGTGGAGCAATAAGAAGCGCGATCATAGAACATCTGGTCGATAATGATCACCCTATCTCTATAGCCTCCGCCTTTAAAGTCATCTACAAGGCAAAATGTAATTAACGGAAATCAATACGTATCCAAATCATCTGTATTGCTGAAGCTTTGGCTATCGAAACAGAAAAGACAGATCTCTGTGTACAGAAAAAGTTCGTTCAACCCCTACAACTTTCATGGTCTTAATCCCTCTATGCTAAAACATGGTAATCCCCAATCATATATTAGCTCTACCAATTTTTCATTTTTTCATTTTGTCTATTCAATTTGTATACTCTTCCTTATTAAGTCAATTGTTATTATTACTATTCTCACTTTGAACTGTCGCCGGTATTATTTCAGTTGTTCCACTTGTCATTCTAAATCAATTCTTTTTTATAACGATAAATTCTATGCTATCAAATTTCCCACAATATTATGTAACGTTTTTATTTTATTCGATTTGTCTACTAATCCTATAATTGCACATCCTTCTTCAAGTTCTATCCCTCCTATGAATTATTCTATATATGAGATTAATTTGCTTAGCCACTTGACATTTAACTATGAGTATAATCACAAACATTTTAGTTTCAATTGAACTTAATATTATTATTATTTTATGGATTCACACCCAAGATTCAGTTCCCTCACCGGATGTAACTTCTTAAAAACCACATATATACGACTGTACAGCTTGATGATAAATTCACTGAAAAAGAGTCTCTTCGCTGAATCACTTGTTTTGATTTTCTAAATGTTACAATGGGAATTTTCCATGAATTCATGACATAGCGCGACTAC